CCGTAGTCTCTTTAGGCGCCCCCCCTCCTCCTCTGCTCTGGCGGATCACTTCACTGGATGCCCCCTGGCATTTTTCGTCATCTGTGCCCCTGTCTCTTTGAGAATCTTTTTGGACTCTGTGGGCTGGCTTTATAGTGGGGTGGTGGCTTGATATGGGACAGTATAAGATCTGGCAGTTGGCCTTGCGGCCATTGCCACAGCCCTTTAGCCAACCCCCTAGGCCTTTTCTACGCTGCGGCCTCTCCTCTTCCTCCCTGGCCCTCGGTTTGCTTTTATTCATACAGGGCTTTATTTTCCGTTCCCTGCTCACGGTTGCTGGACATTGGACTTGTGATCTGGTCCCGGTTGGTATGACCATTGCCACCCATCGATGTCAAGGGACTCCATCTCAGCCCCCCTGGAACTTTTTGGACACCCCCCCCCCCATCCCAATACCATCTATACCATCTATCACGCAAGGAAGAGAGAAGACGAAATCCTCTTCCCCCTTTATATTCTTGCAAACCCCACCGGACTGGACTTTTTGCGAACCCACCTACAAACTTTATTCGAACTTGCACATTCTTTAACAGCTGCACAATTTTTCTTTTGTATGCAGTGTGAATGGTATGCCTGGTTGATGATTGTACCCACTTTTTAATTCATTATTGCTGTATTTTTTGTATTTTAATTGACTTACGTGGGGAATGTATGGATGAGTGGCTGTGTATGTGTGAGAGGATTGAGAGTACTCCCTGGTGCCTCCTCCACTGAGTGCTTTTGCAGAAGTGGTAGGGGGCCCAGGCTTACCTCCCGTCCCGGAATGAGTGATAAGAATCGCCTACTGGATGGTGCGGAGGCTGTGGGAGGGGATATGGGGTCTACAGGTGCGGAGGCGGGCCGGAGCATTACAGTCACTATGGGGAGAGGCAGGTACGATGGGAACTGTAGGACTGGCCATTACCGGGGAAGGAGGGTTCGCTACGTCGCAGAGATCCCTCCTTCTGGCCCTGTTAGTTCCACTCCAGGGCCAGATGGCG